CATGAAACTCATGCGAAAGCAGCGATTGAATGACGTGCAGCTCGAGCCAGAGTGCCTCATGGAATACCATTGGAATTCTTTCTTCGACCTCCTCGATCCTGTGCACCGAACCATTCCACGCTGCTCCTTGATTTTGTTCCGAATCCCAGAATGGTCGACTTCTATACCTGCTCTGGATTGTTACTTGCGAGAATTTTCTAAAAGAAACGAAGAATGGAAGGTCCTAAAGGCATTCTATAAATTTGAAGAATTAGTTGAGGCTTTCAAAGATTTACGAATGGTCAAAAATTCACTGTACGAATTTTCTTCCTTTTCAACGCCAAAATACAGCCTGTTCCAATTCTTTTCACTCTTCACATGTTTCCAGAAAAAAGATGCAGAAATTGATCGAAAATTGTAATGGTGATTCGGTGAATGGTACGAGAACTCCTCTTTTCGGAATTTCTGAGAAATTTTTGCGAAAGGAAAGGTACAAAAATTGCAAAGTGATCCATGGTGAGATTGTTTTCAAAGAAGAAGGAAGTACAAGTGCGATGACTTAATAGAGTGGAATGGAATGCAACGGCGTCGCCCATTTTCCCCGCGAATTTCCACGCTGTGGCAGTAAGTTTGCGCAACGGAGAACAATAATATCGGCAGACGAATTTCCTAGGCTAGCACAAAGGCTGGCATTTAACCGAGAGATCGCACGTGAGCGTAAAGGCGCTTGGAGCCCCGTGAGAGACCCCATATAGCAGGTCACTGCCATCGAGAGATGATCGGGCAGGTTCGTAGCACCAGATCCCTTTATGGAAGAAGGGGATCCACTTTATTTCTCGTGTACATGTCCACCGACACAACCTTTCTCGTCAGGTTACTTCTTTAATCCGCAAATCTGTTTCTCTCACGGCCTCGACTCCGACTATATTTTTTTTTCCGATGAAAAAGAAAGGTTATACGATCAACATCGTGACTGGTGCTGACAGCCTATTGCATTTAGCTGGCTTTTATAAAAAATTAAATAAGTGAACAATAGTTTGACTTCAGATTTTTGGAAGAATACAATGTTTTTTTGGAAACTCTTTTTTAGACTAAGGAAGAAATAATAATAAATCGTTGTTTAAATGTGTTGGATTATAAAGAGAAATGAGTATGTGTCTGTGTAATAGTAACGGCAAAAATAATCAACATACTGAGACAGATTAATATAAATATATATATTTTTTTCCTTTCTCTCAGTGTCTTGTCTATGTTTGTTTGATCGCATAGCGACGTGCCTTCCTCGCGTATCAGAATAAAGAAGATTTATAATTAAAACAATATCTTTTATTTATTACCATAATTCTAACAAAATGATCAGTGTCTTCGATTTTATTGTACTGTATTGTCGTATACGTATGTGTTCAACCTAAAATAAATTAAGCAAAACGATAACATAATAAGATAATTGATAAAACGAGTAATAAAGTTCTGCTACATTTCTCACAGCCACAAAACTGGCATGGCACTGGAGTCGCGAAAATTGGTCAAATATTCTTTGTCAAATAAAAAAAAAAGAAGCACTTTCTCTTTGCATTTTCAGGATAAAGTCAATCAAGACGTCTCCTCGAAGATGTACATTCCCGTCGAGTCGAGTCGTCACTTTTCCCTGAAGCTCCCTCAATCCTCCCTCAATCAAGCTCCCGCATTCCTCCGGAACCGCGTTGTCCTCGCTCGTCCTCCAAGGCCAAGGTGTCACTCCGCTCAGAATGCGTCACCGTGGCCACTTGCAACGGTAATCAAATTTCTGAATTCCATTAGACCGGGGCCGCGCGCGAATTTCATTACCGACCACGACAACCGGACCTACTCCACGGTACCGTTCCCCACGTCCTCGCTATAACGGTCGCTCGATGAGAGGATTCTTTCCATGTTCCACGCGATTTGTGGCCTCCATCGCTAAAGAAACACTCAGGATACCAGCATGGGTCTTATTTTTCTTATTCTTTTTTTTTCTGCGACGTCCATTGTGAAAGATGGAAAGTGGATAAATGGTACTTCGATAAATTTTTGTTTTCTCGGAAGTTTAGAGGGTTTCACATTTCGAAAAATAGGCTTCCATCATTAGAGAGACGTCCTTCAAGGTGAATGTGTCATTCAGAATACATTTCTGAGCCTCAGTTTTATTTTTCTGCGACGTCCATTGTGAAAGATGGAAGGTAGATAAATGGTACTACGATGAATCGTTGTTTTCTTGGAAGCTTAGTGTTCCAAAGTTAGAAGAATAGGGTTCTATTGATTCTAAGAACTATTTTTCTCTTTCTTCAATTTTTCTTCGACGTCCATTATGAAGGATAGTAAGTACACGGTGTTTTAATGAAGCTTGAAACTTGCTGGAATTCCAAAGTTAGGAAGATTGAGTTCCTCAGGAATATTCCGAATCTTTTCCCTTCGATTTGCATTTAACTTGAATTTTCTTATTTCTTCGTCGATTCCAATTTTCTTCCTTGATATTGTGGTGTTTTACATAATAACTCGGGTGACAGTTGCGAAATTCCGTCGAGAAACGGGGAAAACCACGGGCTAACCGACTAGCATTAGAAATCGGGGGTAAATGGATATGGCTTCTGCGGTGAACGCGGCTATTCCGCTGCAACTCGGTGGTTACTCCAGATATCTCAACACTTACGTATCGTGCACCTCGATAAAACTCTCGAAACAAACATTCTAAAATTATTAAAAAAAAAGAAAAGAAAATCATTCGTTGATTCTTTCATTCTGTAAAATTCTCTGCAATATTTCTCTGCTCATATGAAAAGACATGGAGGAACGTGATCAGGAAAAAAAACGGAACGAGTAAGTCCAGGATTTATTCGTTCCTCCGGCACGAAAGACTTTCTATTCATTTGTTATTCGCGCAACAACTATAGACACTGAAACAATGCAAACCGGCCACTTCCTGCTCCGTTAACCATGAAAGCAATTTAACGAGCCACCGTACGTGATCCACGGTGGACGTGCACCGGTCAGCTTATCAGAGAAATTTTCATGCCGTCTGCAAAATGGTGTTAATGAATTGTACACACAACCTCGGGGAGAAAACGTCAGCTTCTGCATGCTGTACCTGCTTAATTAATTACTGCATCAAAGTTAGAGACTAAACTTAGAGGACCTTTCGTTCTGAATATTTTATCTTTTAGTAGAATTATTTGTGTGTGTGTGTGTGTGTGTGTGTGTGTGGACATATTGAGGGAGGAGAAATAGTAAGTTTGATATTTTTTAAGGATTTGGAATTTTTTCTGATTTTTCAATTTAGTATGAGGCATTGGTATGGTTTCTTTTTTATTTTCAGGAGAAGTTAATTTTTTGGGCTTTTAAATTTGGTGCACGGCAATTTTAAGATATGAAAAATTGGAATTTTGATACTTTTGGGAAACTTGGAATGTTTGGGAGCTTTGAATTTAGGGCAAGGCAATTTTGAGAGATGAAAAATTGATTTTTTGGAATAAAGATGGGACGAAGAATAGCAAATTTGATATTTCTGGGAGGCTCAGGAGTTACAAAATTTGATAATTCGCTGCAAGTCGCTGAGTATGATTTCACACTTTCAGGAAAGCGAGTATAAGAGTTGGTACTGATGCAACAATGTGTATATTCCTCTATTCAGAGCGTAAATTAAGTTAACGTGCCTATAAATAACGACGATAGAGCGCGCGCGCCAAAAATAGACCGCGTAACAACTGAAGCGACGAAGGAGAAAATTACATGCATATTTTCTTCATCTCGTACGGTCGTCAATCTACTTTTCATAATTAGTTAACTCGCGAAAATAAATCATTGCATCACTGTGAAACACTTAAATTAAAATATATGTAATATAGCACTTACACAAGAGAATTACTTTCCACTCAATCATTATCTAAAATCACGAACACAGCACTGCACGATGAATCAGATAATTAAAAGAAAATTACAATAATTGCGTAGTAATGAAAGATATCGTGTCAAGATAATTTGTTACCTAGAATATACACTTGGAATATTCGAAGGTAACAGCAAAGTGGCCGTAACAAAAGGCAGCATGAGGACAAAGGGAAACGAGAATCCGAGTGCAGCTCGCGTTATGTCTGTTTACATGAAACATTTATTACCTACAGTCGTCTGGGATTTACATGGCACAGATATTTGGAAACATTTCTGCAGGTGCATCGTGCCATGAATTGTTAACTCAACTTCGTTCGCCATTTTGATGAATTCTAGTCAAATATCTATTTCCATGAAAAATATGAAAATATCAATTTTTCATTTGAATTATTAATATCTAACAAACTTTATTTCTCCTCAATTATGCAAAAATATCAATCTACAAGTGTAATGGAATTTAATAATTAATAAATAGAGGGGAACGGTGAATTTTCAAAATGGAGGTGATAAATTCTTCCTAGAGGGTGTTGAAGAAAAAGAAATTCTTTATTGTTATTAACCGTTATTATTGTTACTGTTACTGTCAATGTTACTGCTTGTTATTGGTCCTATCATTATCGTTAGTCTGGCATCCGGGATAGATAACATTATACTTGCACAGAGTCGCGAATCAGAAGTCAACGAGCGATCCCTGACTCGAGGATCTCGATCCACCGCTCGAGCACGATAAAGAATAATAAAACATGGAGTCCTCAGGGTCGACGAGGTCTTCGGGCGTAAAAAAATCCGCGAGCCCCCTTGAATTTACAAGAGTGAGTCAAACGAAACCTTCGAAACGAAGGAAACCGACTCGCTATAGTCTGCGTCGAATACTTTAACATCGAAAAATAATCTTTGACGTTTTTAACTATATGGCAGTGAAAATTATCACAACGAAAGAATATATATATATAAGAAAAAATATAAAATAAGATTCATATACGGTGTCTTTGAAGCAATCATCAGGTTTGCATTTGCTCGACTCTCGATTAAGAATTTCTTCAAGGACGCTATAGCACGATAACGATACGGTCAATTAATTAAATAATTTATTAGTCAACAACGAGCCAAATTGGGGCTCAGTAGGGATGAAGGGCTGCAAGGCCCAATCGTGGAGGCTCTGCGTAGCTGTGTCTGTATCTGCCAGGTGTAGGGACGATTTCTAAGGGTGGTCTGGCGCTATCGCGATCCAGACCTGGATATCGTTCGTGTTCAGAGAGTTCTTGGTACGTGGTGGTCCTGGCGCGCACTTTTTCGCGTATCTCCCGCACGTGGGCGCGGTCACGGAAATCCCGAGCCTGTGGACAGACACATTTTTAATTGAACCCCTTAATTTGTAATTCTTCAAGCGTATTATAGCTTAATTAGGTTTGGTAATCTTCGGTCTTCGAAAGTTGGAATTAAAATTAATTCTTGTTGCTAATATAACTATTTTTGTCACATCTTAACCAGAATCTGTATCTCGAATCTGACTCGTTACAAGGCAAGGGGTTGATCAAGTTTGAAAATTATTTGCAAATGCACTTATTCTAGGCAAGAGTTATTTGAATGTTAAGATGGAACTTTGTATATCTGTGAATGCTGTTAGAGCATTCTTGAAAGTTAGTTTAGAAGAAAATGTTGAAGATTTTAGAAGTGGTTAATGTTGGAATATAAAATTTAACACCGGGTGGTTGAAAAAGGTAAGTGTTTGATAATTTACGTTCCAACAAAGTTTACTCTTCTGTTGATAGTTTCTAACACAGCGTTCTACTTGTACGATAAAGGGAAGTTGACGTGGTATCATGTTTTTGTTTGCACCTCACAAGTTTTTTTTGCATTAACAAGTGGCACAGAATTTATAGGCAAACAACATTGTGGCAGAAGAAGATGAAGAAGCGTTCCCAGTGAACCATATGGACACGACAAGCAATTAGCGTTTTGTTGCAAGGTTCGAAGATAGTCTAGAGCTAAACTAAGAACAGGGAACATTCACTGGCGCTACTATGTAGGTGTTATATACAGGATTGCGATCTCTCGAGGATTTTTGAGATTAGAATTTAGAGCCAAAAAATCTTGAAAAATTAGAGCTTAAGGATCAGCAATCTTCAAAGATTGCAATTTTGATATTAAAAATCACCTAGCTTCCTATTTCTAAATTATACTAAACATTTTCCACTCCAAAAGAGTGAGCAACGATTAAAATTCTGAGCTAAAGAATCTTCAGAAATTAGAGCTTCAAGATCAGCAATCTTCAAAGATTGCAATTTTGATATTAAAAATCAGCAAGCTTCCTACTTCTAAATTATACTAAACATTTTCCACTCCAAAAGAGAGTTCCAAAGACCCTAAAGGCGAATCCTCAAAGATCAAAATTCTAAGGTAGTGAATCCTTGAAAATTAGAGCTTGGAGATCAGTAATCTTCAAAGATTACAACTCTAATATTAAAAATCACCAACTTTCCTGTTTCCAAATTATGCTAAACATTTTCCGCTCCAAATCTTCAAACATGATCATAACTTTGTCACTAAAACTCCAGAGCTACCTGGAAGTGAAGATTTCTCTTCAATGTTACAACTACATACTCCAAAATGGAGTGCTAAAAAAGGAGTCCTCGATAACAAGGTCGAGTTCAACGGCATGAAGCTTCGCGGAACGGTCGAAGAAGAGAGGCGAGGGGAGAATCAATGACCCTTACTTCTCTCGGATCAGCAACGTTCCTTTGATCTCGGAAGTCTCTTCCAACCGATGGGTTTTCGTAGAAGCTTCTCGGCCGAGGCCTCGAGACCTCTTGCTCTGGTGGGCGTTCCATCGCATAATGATGGGTTCGTGGCCGCGGTCGAGCCCTGTAAGAAATATCGTTCTCCCGTTCCGATACTTCCGAATGATTCCGTCTGATCAGGTGCTCGTGGCCGATCGTTGAACTGTTGCTCGCCGGATGCTGCCTGCCAGGCTGCTCCTCATGGCTCTGTCTCACCGACTCGATCCTGCATTGTCAAGAAAAAATCACGATAATTAGAATTTCATTTTATTCTATATTAATTTGTTTTTAAACAGAATAGTTGAAACTGCTCGATCCAGCATTTATAAAAAAAAAAAAATGACGAAATTTAGAATTTTATTTTATTCTTTATTTACTTTTTTTTAGAAGAAATTTTATTCGGTAGAAATTGCTATTTTCTTCTTTTTTTTTTTGGATGGACGTGCAACTAGAGAAGGGATTTTCTTTGTAATTTTTTAAGTAAATTCAGAAGCTATTAGAGCATTAAATATTACTTATTAATGGAAAGATCAAAGGAATTTTGTAGAATTTAGAATTTCAAAGCGCATTCAGGAGCTCGAAAGTTATTGAATCTCAGTATCAGAGTTTGAAGTGTCGCTAAATTTTCTAGGCCTGCTTAGAGGTGCACGAAACGTTTACATGGTGGTGAGGTAACGATGTGCCCCTTCCGAATTCGTTCCACTTGCCATGTGCCACTTGAGGCAGCCGTTTCTCGCGAAATAAATCGACAGGGACGTTTATCACGTTTCTCTGAACCTGTTGCAATAATCCATCCGCTGTGAAACTAGGAAAAGATCTAAACTATCTTCAGAGAAAACAATAATTCTCGAAAGAGGAAGTAAATTCAAAAGAATTCCTAGTATATATTTCTCATTCTCGTCTCATGTTCTGAATGAGAACTACTCTCTTCGACATCAATGGACCGAAGAAGCTAGGTGTTATCTACAAAACAATCGTCAACATTTCATCCATAATGCGCTCGAATCTGTTCGCCAGCTGGTCGGACAGCTTTTACTTGAGATTGACACCGGTGATTGCTGGCCCAAAACGAATGCCAGCAGAGAAAAAGCAAAGGCAACGCGTGGCCTTTTAAAACTAGTCTTTCTAGTCGGGCCGGAAGAAAATGAGACGCTCTGTCCGTCGAATCGATACTCTCTCATAATGGAATCGACGCGGATTCTCTTCTGGATTAGAAAACGAATACGAAGAACTGGTTAACGACGCCTGAAAGTTAAATTTTTTTCGTCCTTTACCCTGCTGTGAGCTGACAAAGAAAAATATTCAACCATTTTACGATACCTAAATCATTATGCGCTGCTGCAAATTAATGCAAAAATAGTCACCAAAAAAGGGATACAAAATTTCAAATATATTTAAATCGAACTTACTAAACAAGATTCTACAAATTTCAGCACTTCGAAACCTGTTTAAATCCTCCAAAAAATTTCTCACAACTCAAACCTACTCTAACCTAACAAAGAAATGCCATTTGTAAAAAGAACGGAATGTTGAATAATTTTACGATACCCGCTAATTCTCCGATCGAAAATTAATTAAAAAAATAATCTCCATGCACTGCGAGCAACACAACAATGATCCCAAATAAGGGATACAAAATTTCAAATTTTAGTTCATCCTCAAATTTCGACACCTCAGAAAAAGGATTCATAGGGCTCTCGTTTGACCGGAAAAGAAACGTTCAGCCATTTTGTGGCAGCTGCATTCCATCAGAGTACCCCCGTAAACTTCCATGACACACGAAGGTAAACAGAATGTCGCGAAAAGCAGCCTGGATCGTACCTGTGAGCGGGATGACTTTCAACTTCTCTCTGCCTCGAAAGGACAGGCCTGGCGATAGCCTCTCTCTCCATGGCTCTGAACATCTCCTTGGCATCCTGGAATCTCTCTCTGGGGCTGGTCACCTCGCCAGGGTTTACTCTTGGTTGGTATTGGGGGCTGGGTGACCGCTGCCGGAATTCCGGGGCTCTGCGACTTCTGTTGCAACCTGGTGAAACGCCTCTACTCATCTGGCTTGGCAATCTTTCCGGGCTTCTTGGTAATCTGGGCAGAGTTAAACTGGTCCCTGTCGTCTCTGGCTCTGGCAGGTAATCGTTCTCCTCTGTTGGCGCTCCCCAGTCGTCGTCTGAAATTAAGCAGAATGATTATTTAATGGGGGAGACTCGTGTAACGAGTCGAAAAATATTTCTTCCTTTTTTTTTTTGCTTAAATCAATAGCAATACGTCTGAAAAATATGTCTCTGAAGTTGTAGACTGAAATTCGAGGTATTAATAAGGCTACAGCAGATTTTAGTTCTGAATCCTTATGGCTACGATTTTCAAGTGTGAAAAGCGAATGTGTTAGTCACATTAAAAAATAAATGGGTACTCGGCTTCGGAGTATAAAAACAAAACTTGGAGGTAAAGGTAAATTGTTCTTATAAAAAACTGTCAAATTATTACGACTGAACAATAAGGAGAAATGTTAACTCCGCTGATGAAATGGCGTAATTGAAATTCAATTTTGGACAGGAATACAAACTTTTCGTTGACACTTACGACATGGAGCGGCTGAAAAGACAGAAACACCGCAGCTTAAATGTAACCAGGGAGGCTCAAACAAAAAGAATATTTCGAATAAGTCTCTGGAATAGTATACTAGCAAAAAACAGGTGTAAATTTATAAAAATTCTTACTTTTCAATACCTGAAACTTTAAACGCGTTTTTCTCGAAAGGACTTCTTTCAAATTGGCGTGCAGCATAACTGAAAAGTTTCCAATCAATTGACTTGTCCTGGTGCAAGTATGTAAATAAATAAATTTCGCTCTGGATGGACCTACAATTCTAACGATATTAATTTTAATTACGCTTATTGCATGATTAAAATGAAAATTTCTGTTTTTGCAAATTTAGGTTCATCTAGAGCGTAGTTTGATAAAGAATAGAAATCTGTATGAATTTTTTCTTTTAGGTGATTTTAACAGACGCTAGACTGTACAACGATTAACTACGTCGACGGTGAGGCCGCGGCAAAATGCCTCTACAGTTTATAACAGTCGAATTATTTTACACTAAAAAAAATATTTTCTACTCTTTTACACGTTGAACAAAATATCCGAAAAGTTTGAAAAAGATCTATTCGATAGTTTCTGAAGAATAAATTCACAAAGAGCACCTTATTTTTAACGAATTACACGAGTAACCCCCCTTAACCCTTTATCAGAGAATTAAAAAGGATTGTTTTTGTGGTAGAAATCAAATATTTTTTGGTATTCAATTGTATTTTGTATTGATTTGAATTTAACATTTATTGTACATACACTACCGGCCAAAAGTTTGGAATCACCGAGCATTGCAATTTGCACAAAAATTTCCAGAAAATAGTCAGCGACTTTGAGAATTTTTTATCATTCGAATCAATTGAGATGAGATAAATTGATAAATCTAGAATTGAGATGAACTTCAAATCTATAAAAAATTAGCAGCAGATTTAATATTGATGAAAAGTGGAAGGTGATACGTATATCAGGAGTGAAAGGGTTGAAGACATGTTTTTTCAATTCTAAATTAGAATTAGAATTTAAGAAGGTTAGGCTAATTGAACAGGTATACATACTCTTGGTACCCAAAGGGTTAATCAGACGAGAATGACAAATTCTTAATTCATTATTGAAGCAAAATAGATTTAATCTCTTATCTCCCAAAATGAATATGTACTTACAGTTCAGATACAACGAAACAGACGAATAAAAGATCCTGGTACGAATGGTGAATGAAAAGACGAAAGTATCAGAAACGCTTTTTCCAACTTTTGTCCATTCACCACCATCTCGATAACATTTCAAAGTTGTCTTTCGACCATAAAATCCATCATTCAAGAAAATAGAAAGCCATACACACGAACAATGAATCGAAGACATGAAACTGTACGAAGAATCGAGAGAGTCCAAGGTAAAAGCCGCAATTTCTCTTTTATCAGGTAACCTGTCACAACCTGTCGCCTTGTCCACCACGAGAACGAAGACGAAGAAGAAGAAGAAGAAGACCAGGACACTAACTATATCCATCTCTTTCTCTCATCAGAGAGGTCAGGAGGGTTTGAGAAGAAGCTGGAAAAAGACGAAGTGGAGACGAGACCGAAAGAGGAGGCCGGCTAACAGCTGGCCTGAGGCTGTGGACCGAGAATGCGGAACTTTGTTCACCGTGTGCTGTGTGTGACCTCCCACGAGGTCGATTTGCACGTGAATTCATCAACAGCATCCCTGGTGGCACACGTCGATCGTCGAACGTCGTCATTATCATCGTCAGCGGGATTCCAATGACGGTTATTAGCTAGGGACGCGAGAGAACTCTGGCACGATGGAGAGCGCTCCTGCATGGAAATGCGCCTTTCGAGAGCTATTCGTTTGCGCAACTACGCGGTGAACAGACGGAATGCCGCGGCGGGTAAAAGTTAAAAGGCAAAGAGCCTGGGATTCTTCTTAATACCATCGTACATCGAACGAGACTGAGGAGAGATCGAGCTACGTTTCTGTCGATTCGATTGATTTTTAATCGATTGATGTGGTAACAGTGAGTAAGAAAGTGAGAAATTTTTGTGGGTTCTGGAGACGAGTTTTCATGTAGCTCTGATAAATTTACAAGTTTGACGGATCTTAACTTTTCATGGGAAAACATTTGTATTGCCGAAGAAGTGTATCGACGTTGCTTCTTCGTGAAGTCTGATGAACTTACAGAATTGGTATATTAAAAATCTTATAAGAAGGGAGATTGTTTGGATTGTATAATATTCCATTGGAATTGTTCCTTCATAAAATACAAAAAATTCATCGAACCATCGAAGCAATTTATTTAAAAAACAAAATTGCTCGAACTTCTTAACCCTTTGTCTTATAATAACAAATCACACTCATGGTGCAAATTATAGTCGAAATTGTTGGATTATAAAGAGAAATGAGTATGTGTCTGTGTAATAGTAACGGCAAAAATAATCAACATACTGAGACAGATTAATATAAATATATATATATAGAAATAACATAGTAACCATCTGTTTAGTATGGGTGACGCTGATATGTTTTTTTTTTTCTCTCAGTGTCTTGTCTATGTTTGTTTGATCGCATAGCGACGTGCCTTCCTCGCGTATCAGAATAAAGAAGATTTATAATTAAAACAATATCTTTTATTTATTACCATAATTCTAACAGAAATATTACAAAAAAGTACTGTACTTGTAATAAACTAGTGATAAACTTAACTCTAATTTCAACTTTAAGTTATGCTTGAAGCTTACCAAACACAGTATTTTAATTTCTTTTTATCTAACATGGTAAAGGCACAACTGTAAATATCTAAGAAAAAAAAGTTCGTACAATTACATACATATATGTAACTCCAATGAAACTATATGAAGTAGCACATTACACTTGAATTGTCACAAAAAATCTTCTCCATAAATCTTGCAACAAAAAACACAGCTAAAACACAGATGAATTCTATTCTATCTAACGTACTAACGAGTGTTCAGGTTAAAAATGATCGAAATAAAGTGACACGTCGAGGGTGAAGTAGCCAACGAGCGATAAATTAATCGTCCTAATCGGTGGGCAGAATCTGGCAAGGCACGGGATAGTTTCACGCGATGCATCTCGCGCGAGAGGCGAGCAACGATCGTGAGCAAAGTGTGCCAGATCGCTTGCGGTCGCGAGCGCCGCTTATATGGAGATGCGAACGTGGAAATCGTGATCGGCTCGCGAGCCGTGTGTCCCCGAGACACCTGTTGCGAAACGGGTTCTTTCGTGGCCCGTAAAAGACCAGTGATATAACGAACCTAAGCTTTGACCCCTTCAGCTTCCACCATTTCTTCCGTATTGATCCTCAGGATTCGTTAAAATCCAAGTCTTGCCGTCGAATGACACAGAAATGGTGCAGAAATTTTGAGAAGCTTTTTCGAACAATGGACATTTAAAATTATTGAGCTTGGAAAGTGCAGAATTACAATTCGAAGAATGTAAAATTATAGAAAAGTGTGAAATTATATCTTGAACGACCAAATTTGTTGAAAAATTTAATTCAATTTTTTCTAAGGTCTGGTGAAAGTTTTGTTAGAGTATTTACAACTGATGGATATTCTATATTTAAGTGATTGAAAGGGTACCTACTCTAACCAATCACAATTTCATTTTTAAACAGAGAATTTGTGAGTTTTGAATTCATGGATCAAGATTTCGATTTTTAAATTCTGAGTACACTCCTTGACTGTGATAATAAGAAACACTGGGTGATCTCGCAGCTATCAAGTGGCCGCCAATTAAGGCCATTACCCATTGAAATAGATAAAAAGATTAAATCGAGCCGAAAATCCGGGAAAGATTAATAGCGAGCGTCCATAAAAAGTGGCACTGGTGAAAAGTGGCTTTAGTCGGTCAGTGGCACGTTCGGCTAGGAAACATCAGTAGCCAGATGAAAAATCGCGTAATTATCTAAGCGGCTGATGTACGCTCGCGTTCACGTCGTAAATCAGCCGAATGGCTCTCGATCTATTCGCGATTTAATTGAGTCGGATAAAAAAAGAAAGAGCCTGCTTGATACCTGGACAGATTTTCACTTGTAATGTTCACCATTTATTTCGTTCGATCTATTCGATCCTTCAGAAACACATGTAAATTGGACGGAGAACAGTGAGCAAACACTGTTTTATTTTCAAACTAAAACATCCAAGAGATACTTGAGGATTTCTAATAATTTTGTTCGATAAATCAACAACTCGGGGACAATTTCATTCGAGAAATTGAGGACACTTCGGTTTACGTAACGCCGAGAAATATTAATTCGAAGCTCTTCGAGATAATTTCATTCGAGAAATCAGGAAGTAAATTTGAGAGTGACAGTCTGTAGACACGAAATCAATTTAAGGTAATTTTATTCGCGAAATTAATAAGCACACTCTAGTGACACTTCGCAGATTCATTTGAACGTAAAAAAAAAAAACATCATTTTATAGCCTTTCAAATTAACTTCATTCAAGAAATCAATATTCATACTTCAATCACAGCATACAGACCCGAAATTTTCCGTCAACCTCAAAAAATACTAACCCATCTCAAGAACTTAATAACATAATATTCACATTGCAATTACCCTCCACAAGCACAGAAATCAGTCTCAATATCCATCCTGAGCCTTCCAAGAATAATTCTCTTCAACATCTAACCAATCACTCTCCTCAATAACCCTTTGCAGATCTCAATTCCCTTTAATTCTCAAACATTAGCTCTTCCAAACATCTCAAAGCGACTTGTCTTAAATAACCAAAAGCTCTAACCCAAAATCCTTTCAAATCTTAAAGAATTCAACATCTAGGTCTTGAAATCCTTTTAATTCCCAATAACTACCTATTTCAAATCTCTCAAAACGACTTATCTCAAACAGCCAAAAGCTCTAACCCAAACTCCTTTCAAATCTAAGAAAAAATCCATGAAAAAACCATCCAAAAATCCTCACCAGACCTTCCATGAATCAAGCACTGGCTAGATATGCAGTAGATACGCATTATCAGATGACAGGCATCGAATTAGCTGAGCACGAGGCAGGTAGACGGTAAGTCTTGTAGAGATTCCGGTAGCAAGGGGCCCGACACCAGGCCCAGAGTGTCAAAGCGGCTCGATTTTTGCCCGTTCGCGGCTTGTAGAATCAGTGAGACGTATGCGTGTGCCTGTAGGCTTGTACCTGCCGCAGACACGACGTCCTAACGGTATTCGTTCCACTGTAACAGGTGACCAATACCAACGTGTGTCCCCTCCCATCTGTACACGTAGTTAAAACACAGGCCCATGACTGGACACACACGTCCACCAGGGAATACCTGGGCTCGTACAATCTTCTTCTTCAACCTTCCTTTTTCTTCTTTTTTTTTTTTTCTTTCGCCTCTTTTACCCGCGAAATTTATTCGTTTATCCGCTATATAGGTCAGTCGTCCGTTAAAAACGTGTTCCTCAACGAACAGGCACCGCCCTGTGTGTTGAGAACGCGATGGCTGACTTTGAAGTTTCAATCTCTACCGGTGGAGATTGTTCAGTTTAATGCTGATTTATTGAGGATCGAGGAGACTTAACACGTTCACGACGACAGAGAAATTTACGAAATTCTATTGCCCGAGCAAATTTTACTAAAGTGTTTATTATCGTTGATACTTAATTCTTCAGTTTCTGACCTTTCCACCTTTTAAATATGTTTTTCCTTTTCATAGAATGTTATAAAATAATATGATGACCCACCGGAGGATCACGCTGTTTATTCGATCTTTTTTGTCACACATGCAATACTGACCCATCATTCTTGGTGGGTCACGTTGGCTAATAAGAGCATCACTGAATGATCCACAAGTGGGTCACACCATGTTGAACATGCTAAGGAAGGCAGAAAAGAAAGAGTTTTCGTTTGAAAATAGTGGCTTTAGAGTAGCAGATCGATGGATGATGATCTTTCGTATAGTTTCAAGTTGTTAGTGTATTTAGATAGGTGGCTAGATGAAATTCTTTCGCATCTTTTCAACAGTAGAATTGGAAACTGGTATAGAAAATTCTTAGTAGTGTATTATAATAAATCGATAGCAATGAAGTTGAATAATTGCTAGCTTTGTTACAGGAAACAGTACAATTTGATCAGTACCGAAAGGGTTAATTCACATCCTTGAAACGATTGCGAAACAAGGAAGCATGAACGATTCAAAAGGAGAATCGAATTGCGTTTCCAAAATCGCAACTTTCTCCGTTTCTCTGAGATATTCGAACGATTCCGTCGACGAAATTCCGTCGTCAAGCCGATCGAAGTGAAAGCAGCAGACTTTTGCGAATTCGTGACGTTAGGGCGACGTGTCTGCGATTCAGCTCGAGGAGCAGCGACGCGGAGAAGGAAAAATCGAGGGGGAACGAGCGTGAAGAAACGATTTTTCGTAGCTCGTCTCGTGAAACTGGGTTACCGGGTCGCCTTCCGCCCGGTTTTCTACGAGCAGCCGATAATATTCGAGGCGGAACGCACGCACGGCCACCTGTTCGCCCGGTAGAAAGCGTCCAAATTTTTGTCATCGTACAGACGATCTCTTTTTTTTCGATTTCGATCTTCGTGGTATCTTCGTTCTACTCGAGAATTTCGCTGAAAGTTTCACTTTTTCCAGGAAGAACACTTTTTTACACTTCTGAATGTTTCAATTTGAATGCCAATCTTCGAACGTGTGCCTCTCTTTTACTATTATAAATTATTCAGCTTCAGCTAACGTATGTATATAAGGGCGTCTTTGCAATAGTATTTGAAAGTGTTTTTTTTTTTTACAGTTAGCATTTCCAAAGACAATTTTTCTCAAAAATGAAGCCTCATATACAAAAATTGTGATGTCCACTTTCGACTTGTTTTTTTCGTAAGGGATCACCCATTTCCTGGTTGTAGCACGATTGCAGGGACACCCTGTATGCGATATATTAGATTGATCTTCGAAGAGTAGGTATCTACCACAAGTGTCTCACCTCACCTAACACCTCAGATAGTCTCCATTCAATTAATTACCAAGATTCCTATAATCTATCATATCCGACATTTCACCTTAATCTTTTTCTGACTCAGTTATTAACGTTCGATTAATATATCATTCCTAACGCTTCACATAATACTTATCGTCTCAATTATTAACATCTCACCCTTCAATTCTTTCGATATCCATTTCACCCCTATCTTATGACTTTTTAACGACTGTCTTTCTCAAACCTAGATATTCGTCGCTTTTAAAATTCGTTAAATGAGAAATTTGATAATCCTCAGATTGATAAACTAAAGTTGGAGTTCGAGTTACAATTCAAATTTATTACACACCTTTGTCATATCTTAACCATATTTTACACCACGTGTGTGACTTGATACTACTATGTGAACTATATTGCAGTCTACAATTTTTTCAAGGAAAACTGAAGTTAAAGTTAATGATTCTCGCTGGTCGGAGTAAAAACTCTGCATTCCACGTTGAAAAGAACCTCGACGGAAGGATTGTCACGCGACACTGTCGCCTAATTGCCGAGTGGGAAAGCTGTTGGAGCGTTTTCCTAGGAAATTAGGCGATCCAGCTGAACGCGTCATTACGCCTGCGGACGGTGATCTGATGCTGCACGAAAGTGAAAGTCTCCTTCTTGTTCCTGGTCCCTCCTCAGGAAACGATCCTTCTCTCCCCTTTGCTTCGAAACAGATGAACCATGACATACTGCATTTCCGCGAACCTAATCGCGTAGGACGTTCGTCAAACCACTTGGAAACTCTAACCGGTAGCCATTATTTGTCCTCATCAGAGTAGGAACTTGAATAATCCACGTGACTGGAGAGGATCGTAGTAAGCTGTGACACGAGGTGGAATCGAAGTGAAAGGAGATGAAATGCCACCTCTGTGTGTGTGTGTGTGTGTGTGTGTGTGTGTGTGTGTATGCCTACTTGTGTAAGAAATATATGAGGTGTTAGATACGATGGATTATTCGAAGATTAATTCCTTTGAATATCGAGTCTTGAGAGGAACAATGCAATGGTGGAAATAAACGATGACAATTCTTTTTCTAACCATTAATTTATCACTTAAAAAAGAATCAGAGAAATAAAATGATATCTATTCTAGTGAACGACATTTTTGAAAGCAACGGAATAAAAATTCTCCCAACGAGTATGTACTTGCGTCAAAACCATTGCAAAACACGTTGAATCACGCGCGAAATAATGAACCATCGGCGTATGTGGATCACGATTCGAATCCTGAGTATAATTATACATTACAAAACAACCACTCGATGTTCCTTTAATATTTCCTCGCATAGGAAAAAGATTATAAAATGTTTGAAAAAGTATCATACTTGGATCTGGATCGACGATGAAAAAGGATCACCGGTTGATCTAACGGTGATAAAACGCGAATTCGAGGTATTAAACAACCATGGTGCGTGTGTGTGTGTGTGTGTGTCGTTTGCACCACAGTCACGGTTTGCACCGCGTTCACTCGCGCTTTTCATTCACAATAAATTTCACACTTGTTCAGCATGACTATCGAATCGCTGTGAACAGTGTAACAACGTGCACGCCTTCTTCTGTCGTAATTCCCCCCTAAGCGCTATTTAACATGGCCTTTCGTTACGGAACCGAAGTTTCGACGTCTTGTGCGACATCACTCACGAATAACCAGCGATAAATTCGCTGATATTTTCGTGGGTGATACACGTGACTCATCCTTTGAGAATCTTGATCGAGATCATGGAGGTTAGGTACAAAAAATGGCTCGAAGTTTTGGTAGATTCCGTGATAAGTCATACTGAATTAACCGACGTGACTTCTTTTTATAGCCTGCTAAGTGCGAGTCGTTCTTTAAGGAAATTAGATTGGAAGATGTATTACCGTGAAGTGAATTATTGCGTAATTATTCAGGAATTAAATTACAGAGGCAACCTATCTGTAAATCTTGCAGACGAGGAGATGTTAGGGTAGCTAAGACATTTTTCGGACCAAGTTAGATCTGCAGGACCGAAGTAGCCGGGTTCACTTTATCGCTGAATGAAGGAAAGAAGAGGAAGAAGATAATGGAGAATATAAGATAAGAATTGGACACAGAGATCTGCATATCTTGATTCACGATAAATCTTCCATTTCAGAAAAAGATTCAAGAGGAATTCCACTATTCTACAATCCAATAATAGCAAAAGTTTTTTAATTGACAAAAAAGAAGATATAATCGACTTACCGGAGGACGAATCTCTGGAAGGTCTCGAAGGTCTTGGACCAAGAGGATGATGGCTCTGATAGGGCGGAGGCGTCGCGGCGCTGTCCGAGCCAATTCCACTGCTGGCCGCGCTCCTCGTGCCGCCTCTGTCAACCGTAGTACTACCACCTACGATCGTTTGATTCAGGCAACGTCTGAACTCTATCCCGGCCAGATTGCCACGGTGTCTGTGCATCGTATCGTAATCCCGCGGGGGCAGAAGAATCGGGCCCACGTCATTGTCCCCTGAGTTGCCTCTGCCTGAAACGGAATAAGCGTCTCGTCTCATCCCCCTTTCTCATACCATCGCTTTGTCTCTGCTATCTCGAGTGAAGATATTCGAGGTTGTCTTTACATTTGTATCTTGCACATTATCTCGAATCTGTGCTTGTATCTTCGTACTCTGGAGATATCAGCTGCAGTTGCAATTACAGTTTCGGTAGTTAAGATGCAGCCGCGATTCTTCTCGTGCACTTGACCTTTTGTAATTTGGGTTGAAATTGAGGTTGTGATCGCGTTTTTCTGCATCTTTCTATTTGAAGTTGCAATTGCAATTTCATAACGTTTACTGTAGTTCGAATTTACGTTGAAATTGTTTGCATTTTCGTAATTGAAATTGCATTTATAGTTTTGTTATTTAGGCTTCAGTTAGAATTTTAACCGTTGTTGAACTTTTTGAATTTGAAGTTGCAACTGTAGTTGCACTTTTGTAAAAAAAATTGCACTTTTACAAGCTTAAATTGAACGTACAAATTGCACAGGCAACTACAGTTGCGCTTATTGATATTTTTAGGAGTTTTAATTCCACTTACAAATTGCATAGGCAATTGCATTTGCGCTAATACCTTTTAAATGCATATAAAAGTGCAATTTTGTTCGTATTTATATTTTCTGGCGTATATTGAACGAGTTCCATGTAAGAAGTAGCTTTCGAAAGGAATATTTACCGAGCTTGGCACGCAACTCCGCAGCCAGGGACTCGTATATCGTGGTCGTTTGCACGGAATCGTGTCTGAGCTCGCCGCTGCCCTCTGATGACTCCGATTCCCTGGTGCTCCTACCGTCGCTGCCTAAATTACTACGGGCCCTGCCTTCCAGCGAGTTGACCCTGGCCAAATTGTCCGTGTGTGACGCCAGTGCTTTCAACTGGCCCCCTAACAATTCGGCTGTTTCGACGGAGTCGCATCTAGATTCAGAAAAACGCAACTCCTTAAAGAAGAGATCTTAATCTACGTTAAAGAAACTTTTTAAACGTTGAAATTCAATAAGAAGGAGGAAAAATTCTTTGAAAGCTAACTAGCTGACAGAAAACTAAATGTTAAAATGTAGAAGGGAATAAGTTTCAGGGTAGACAAGAGCAAAACTTATTCACTAGAGTAAAGAAGAGAATAGAATAGTAGAACAGCCAGCTTTCTAATTAAATGAAATTTCTCGAATATTTTACGAGGTACTCGTCGAATTCCCCGGAACTCGACAAGTTCAAGGAGCAGAGTACTCGCGTGTCAAGCTTATAATCGCGGCACGTCGATTTAATCTCGCGTTCCTCGTTACCGAACCCGACCGACTTTTAATTTCTAATCAGCCGCCATTATGGTAGCGCGCGATACTCGATCCACGCGGCCCTTATTATTTCCCGTGAACTCGACAAGAAATCGCGGCCAACGAACGATCGCATCGCACGAACACGAAGCCGCACGCGTGTTCCCGAATGAACCATTTACCTGGTTCCGATCAGAAACCGCCGATTCATGAATTCAATAGACGATGTTGTATAATACGCGGCTCCATTACGTGGTGGAAAATTATTACAGTGTTACAAGACAAGAGAAGAAACGTGCTCTTCTCACGGGATGAAAAAATACCGAGTAATCTCGTTCCCAATGCCAAGGCTGTGGTATTAGCATGTGCGAACTACCGGCTTACGAACGTTATTAGTTACTGGTAGGCCCGTTAGAATCGTGCTGATGTCGTTAATTAGCGGATCGAGATCGTTTTCCGACGCTATAGGATCTGGTCTTCGAATAGAGTAGCCGTGGAGGTCGATTCAACCACTCTGCAGGCATGTAAAAAATGCTAAAACCATGGAAGATCTCATCATACCGTTTGGTGAACTCACTGACATCGAATTAGTGGAATTAACGAGCCCACTGATGTAAATTACAATGGTTCCAGCGAAATTTATACTATGAAGTAAAGATTGAAGATCTTAATGCTAGGAAAAAGATTGTTTAAAAGATTCTCGTCATCCAAGGTCACCAATGACCCACTAAATCACCACTTAATTACTCTACTGTCCCACCACTTACTCTATTTTTACAAGTAATTACTGTACTGTGCCATTTCTGGTGTATAAGCAACAGGTGGACGCAACAGGTGGTTTGAAGTGGGGGAAGCACACCCATTAGCGGTGGGGATGCGACCTTGGGCGACTGAAATCTCGACTCAAGCTATAATACTCGATCTTCCAGTAACCTGTAAGCGTGAACGTGAACTGGATTGTTCGTAGTGCACAGCCGCCAATACCGCATGTCCAGGCACTAAATGCTTTACGGCCGACCTCGTCGAACCGCCAGGATGGACCGTCTGTATAATCTTCAACCCCTTGTTGCTCACCTGACAATCGTAAAACACGGACGATCAGCTGTAGGCTTAATAAGCGGACTGTTTTAACGGTGGTTTAACGCGCGACGGCGCGAGGTACGCGGCCGCGGAAACGCAACGTTGTTCGTTGTACTAAAATGCAAATTCCTCGTGCCACTTCGCCGAGATGAGCATCGACGAGTCTCCTCGATTTTATGCTTCGAACGAGGACTGTTCACGAGGAGATATTGCAAAGAGCATCGATGTTTCTGGCCAATTATGGTTTCCAAATTTTTTAATCTTCCTTCGAATTTCGTTCCGGGCAATTCCAGCGTGATTAATTAATTTTTTATACCTTTTTAGCTGCTCTTGTCATTTAGATACAAGGAGTATATTGTGGAAAAGTATTCGTACGTGCATAATTCTGAGTGCAACTGCGAATTATGAATATACTTGCATCTATAAATTTGTTAACTGAACTGTAATTAATACTAATTCGATTCTGACGATTGTTCCGAGCAAATGGAGTACGATAAGGTATTATCATTCGATGAACGAGTTTATAATTGAGAAAGGAATGCTTTCCCCGTAACAATACCGCGTTCCCCATGTACAACCGCGCAAAAACGTGGTTTTCTTTTGGAAAGCAAATAATAACAGCGGAACGATGAAAGTGAACATGATATTACGAAAAAAAAATGGTACTTTCTCTATTTTACGATCCCATTTTTAGCAACCTGCGTATAAGCATATTGATAGTTATATTGCTCGCCCCCAGGCGTTGAAATTACCACCACGTCGTTTCATTAGCGGCCACGAGGAGCCATTGCGATGTCGATGAGTAATCGTCTGATTTTCGACGTGGGTCGTAAAATTGATCGTAATCCTTTTCCAGGAAAAAACAACCAACAAGTTTCATAAATAAAAATATTAATTTTTTCATCTGGTTCCTTTAAAAAATGGCAAAATATCTTCGATTTCTTAATCCTCCATGGATTAAACTCTTTGAAATTTTTTTTCAAAATTCGAAACATTGTGATTTTGAAAAATGATCACCTCCGAAATTGATTTCAAACGAAACACTTTGCGATATAAAAAATCTACAAACTCCAAATCGAATATTTCGCAATTTTAACGCTATAAACAAAGTCGGTTAATATACAATTTCCATGATTTTCGCAAGAATTTCTGTCCACGCGACGAACAAACTAGGAATTGTAAGAGAATTGCAAAATCCAGACCCTCGAAGGTGGCTTGTTTTGTTCAGATGGACGAACAATAATATCCATCCTGTCCTCGTGTCTGCGGTTTCGACGAAATCGCCCGCAGAAAATAACATGGAGCAATTTTCTTGCTCCACAGCGAGAGACAGGCTGTTCGCGAAAATTCGGCGCGCTAAAATATTCTCAAGGCAAGCGATCTCTCGCAACGAGCTGCACGAGCAATTACACTTGCACAACAATTAGGCGGGCCTCGCGTGATTTCGTAATATACTTTTCTTTTTGCTGCGTATTTTTCTTCTTCTTCTTCTTTTTTTGTTTTTGTTCCACGACGCACATGCCCTCCGGCGAATTAACACGTCAGAGTTAAATCTACGCGAAACGACGTCCATTAAGATTCAACCTGATGATAGAGAACGCCATTGTTTTCCAGGCGATAGAGCTTCGAGAAGCCAAATTGCCATCGGATGCTCCATGGAATGTTAAATATGTGTTCTTTTTTCTGATTGGAAGTTGTTAAAGATCTTTGCTTTCTTTCGAGGACTATTACTTTACAAAGCCTGCTTATATTATTATAATTCTTATGTTTGAATTTTTATTGCATTTTTACCGAGCAAAGATTAAAGTTTTTTAAAGATTATAGAATTTTTTATAAATTCAGTCTTCTAATATACTTTGAAGAGAATTTTGATTTTATTTACGTTTAATAAAAAGGAATCCCTCTTATCCTTGAGGACACAGCTATAGATTATTGAAGGCTGACAGAGGAAGCGAAAATGTGTGAAATGATTTTTCAAAATTCACTCCTTTGATATATTTTCAGGAGAAATTATAAAATGTTACCAGTGACTCCAAATTATTCTGGATCAAAATAAAATATTCTTTTTTCTTATAAATTTTCTCCCGGTGATTAAGTGGAAAAGAAGTACTGTTAAATGATCGCATGCAAGATTTCGTGTACGTAAACAGCGATTTTCTCCGGAATCACGAAATAACAAGGCGCTTTTTAAATCTTCGCGTGCAACCCCCTTGGCGAATTTCGATTGACATGCAACGGGAATGTCGAGCAACATGTCAACTTAACGGTCGCGGTACAATTTCGGTGGCATCCGTTTATTTTCTCTTTCCCATATCGAACACACCGGATGTATTAGCGTCGTGCTCGTTTCTCCTAACATTCGGGTCAACGAATCATTTATTACGCTTATCTAATTAGCCACACTCCATTGGTACCTCTTATTAAATCATATGGAACGAATTATGTATGTGACCCTGGGAAATTCTTGGAGAAACCTGACGTTCTTTTCTTTTTTCTTCTCTACGTACACATAATATTGTATTACGTCTTTGTTATCGATATCTATTTCAATTGAATGAAAAATGACGGTGATTAAGGGTGGTCAAAAGTTCATCGAAAGTTCATTTGATGAGAAACCGTGTAGAGTTTCTTGACAACGTTCCAGGAATCTTTTCGAACTTTCTGATGCAACAATTGCTCGTGGCACGTTTTCGTAACAACATAATCTAGGTTTCGAGGGGATCGAAGCGAACGAAACTTTCCTAGGAGCAACACGGAGCGAATTTTAAGAGAGGCACATCCGAGTGGATCTTTCCTTCTTGTATATATTCGGAACTCTCACCTTAAACAAAGATCCATGCGGTGAAAATGTTTGTAGAATAAAATATTCTTAAAATAATTCCTCCATTTCTGTATTTTCGAATTCTTACCATACTTAGAATTCTTAAGTTGAATTCTTTCGTTGAAGGATTCCAAAAATAATGTTTCCTCCGCAGTTTTTTACATTTTCTTGATACTTTTTATATTTTTCAAGCATGCTTTTAAAGGCAATCCTCCACTACCAACTTTTTCTAGAAAAAGAAAACCTCCACCGTCAACTCTTCACGCTTTTTTCACTCTTATCTCCCCAAATAAAGAGCCACTCCGAAATCTCAATTCCACCCACGATCCCACGATCTAGAACTCCAAATAACACTCGAACGATAAACCTCCAATCTCGTTCCACCCTAAAGCTGGCCATCGTCAATTCCCGAAACGAGGATCCCCGTAAAATTTAGCCATCAAACGCACAAAATTTACACATCTGTCGTTTAAATAACTTGTTTTCGTCTGCTCGATCCACGGAAGGCCGTAGACGAGCCATTAATACAAGGTCCAACCCCTCTTTCCACCTTTCGAGGAGGAATTTCATGGAAACACACGAGCGTTCCCAAGGAAGCTGATAAAACGTCGGTGAACAGGTCGAGGCCTGGTCGATTCTGGTATGTAGGCTGAGGTTATAAATCGATGATTTTTATTCGTCCTGTAGACTGCTTTCACTAGTGGTAAACGATGAAACTCACGCACAAGAGGTGAGTTAAACTCCCCTTTTTCAAAGCCAGGATAATTAATTCGTCGTTTTTTCGCGTATATTTTCGGCCACGAAACCGGGTCTCCGAAATGGTACCGCTCACCTGTAGCGTGACCTTGAAAGGCTCCTGAAGCCGTTCTCGCTCGAGCAGGTAAGCTATGGCACCGGGCATCGCGTCCACCCCCTTGGCCTCCCTCGCGCCCAGGTACCAAACGTAGTACGAGCTCTTCTTGACATCCTTGCTACTCCTCAGACGCAGGGCCATCACTCACTGTTCCATGAAAGAAAATGTACACTCTTCGTTAATCTCGGTAGCTTTGGGCCCTGTGAAGGTTTTCGGTTCAAGAGGATTGAAAGGAGGAAATTTATGATTTAAAATTCATTGTTTGATGAAAAGAGAGAGTTCATTCTTAGTATTTTCGTTCGGTGGAAATTCGAGGATGAAAAGTTCGTGATTTATTGTAGGTTTGGAATTGAAGAGGATTGAAAGGAGAAAATTTATGACTTAAAATTCATTGTTTGATGAGCGGGGCAAATTCATTCTTGGTATTTTTGTTCTATGGAAATACGGGTGATGAAAGGTTTGTGATTTATTTAAGAGTTCATGGTAAATTGGAAAATCTTTGGAAAGGAACATTTTGAAGTAACTTTGATAGAAGAAAAGTGATGGTGGTTCAAATGAAAGATATAAGAATTTTCAATTAACAAATGGTTCAAGTGAAGAAGTAATTCCAATTCCACTTCGAAGTAATTCCAATAGATAGAAAACGAAGTGAAATAGAAAATTTGAAACCAGTTCAGAGATTGACAAGGTATTGGACCAAAGAAAAAACATCAGCAGTACCAAGCAACGTCTGCTTGTATTACACGTATATTAAATAAAATCGAAGGTCCTCGATGGTTATGCGTTACTCGAGTACCTATATATCTCCTAGAATCGAGGCGATACGTTATCTTTCACCGTGACACGTTAATTACTGAAATAATCTTGTATCCTTCTTATTGGAAACAGCGCGACCATAACGTTTCCCTATTGCAAAAACGTCGATTTTCCACGAAGCAGGCTCGCAGCCATGGCTGAACGACGACGAACACGAACACGGCCTGTCTGTTCATCCGCTTCCTCAATTACTTTCACGCTTAAACCCGTTTTCTACGTTAACCGTCTCGTGAGGAGGAATCGGTTCCCACCGATCTGCATCGGCGTCGATGTTCGAGGCGAAAATATCACAGGAACCGGAACGGAGCCGCTTTCAGGATCAATGTCGACCTCGCGTCGCGGATTATCGATCACCTTATCCTCGGTTATACGCTGATTTCGATATCTTTAATGCGATTATTCGCGTACACGACGAATGGTAGTGCAGAATATTGAAATTTCATGAAAGCTTCTGGAAGAATTTCGATGAACTCGAGATATCTTGAAATTGTAGAATCTCTGAAAGAATTATGATTCTATTTATATGATATCTCTAAAGAATTGTGATTCTATACTTATGGAATCTCCGAACAAAATTTATGAGGTAGTTTAAATCTGAAAAACTGTCGAAGCATGTCGAAGCCTCAAAGATTCTCTCCAGGAAATCAGTACTTAAAAATATTGTTCTAAGATAAACAGATACACTGAATCAACTTTTTTTAACATTACTCCTCATCAGACTTTCATAGTTTTCACTCAGCCATAGTCAATTAACTGATTAAACAGGCGTGAATCCACGTCGAACGCACATTTCTTTTTTCAGATAAAATGATATCGTTCGTTTCTATTATCTTCCACAACGAATCGCGATTAACGTAATCGTAACTTCCTCGAGAACTGAAAATATTTTCGTGAAAGATGGACGCGGTCGAGGCATGCAAAACTGTACACGATACTGCTTACGGTATAGGTTTGTTCTCTTTATTTATGCATTACACGCGTTTCGAAATCTTATACGCTCGCGTGTAGCCGTAAATACGTAATAGGTTCGCTTTACCTACGGCCACGGCATCGTTTACCGCAAGAGTTATATTTCTTTTCACAATAAATCGCGTTCTGTTATTCGACTACCACCGTATCGTACGTTTAAATCCTCGATTATCTGTCTTTTGATGTCTATATCGAATTACAATCATTTTATTCTTAACAGAAAGATAAAGAATATTCGAATTTCAAAGGAGACTTAAAGTTGAAAGAAATTTATGTACTATTGAACGAAGAAAGACAAATGAGCGATTAATTGTTCCGGTATTAGATAGTGGAAACGTCTCAATGAATGGAAATTACGATCGCTTAGAGGTTACAAAACCGCGATTACTCGAACGTTTCGAATTAAACGCGCCAATGCAAGAATCGCAACTTTCGAATCTGCCGCTTTCATCACTCCGCCGGAAGTGATTAGCTTCGAATTTCTTCGACATCGCCGTTTGCCATTTAATCGATTATTTCACCTCAAAATTCTATTTACTGTAGTAGAACAAAAGTTGTAGAACAAATGAAAGAAGTAACTTCACATAGTTTCATTTTACTTTATTCTTTATTCTCTTATTCAATCTTCAAAAATTTTCAATTCATAAAATTCACACCTCGAACTTCCTTAAAAATGACCGTCTTCACAATGGAAATAAAAAAGAAGAGAATTAAAAAAAAAAACTTATCACCATAGAACGGACACTTAAAAAAAAAAAAAATTAACGAACGATCGTCCAAAGATTGACTCCTAAATGACACCTCGAGCTTCTTCCGAGAAGAGAAAAGAATTGTGAAAAAAAAAACTGATCACCATAGAACAGACACTTTTAAAGGAAAGACGAATTCATGGTCGTCCAACGATTAACTCCCAAATGACACTTTTATTGTGACAAAATTACGATTACCATAGTGCATCATTTTCTCGAGCAACGCATAAGATCGAGCTTTGAGAAAAAGTGAATGAAAAAAAAGAAGGGACTGACCGGCAGCAAACGGGTCCGGGATGCTCAGAGCTCGCGGCGTTTTTCGCAGGAATTAAGCAACACGGCGGAGATTCAACGGGTCTTCGGTAGGCAGACAGCGGCAGCGGCGGCGGTGGCGGCGGGTTTCGGAGGCGAGCAGAGGAACAAGTTGTACGGTACGTACGACCCACGTACTCTCTTGCAGCATGCACTTCGCGTCTCTATACTCGTATATCTATATCTATGTATATATACCTCTACATGCACAACGAATCCTCCTAGCAAGCACACCACCGACAAAAGAAGCTCGCTTCGATCTGACAGCTGCGCTTCAGTTAGTCCCAGTATCACTTTTCCACGCTTGTCCTCTTACATACACACGTTCTCTTTTTTATATACAACAACTTCTCAGCTTCGACGAACCAACGAAACAAGAAAACAATAAAAAAACGGAACAAAAAAGAGAAATAGTATAATATATCTAGTCTTGTTAATGAAGTTCAATGAACAAACAGAACAACAAACACCTGAGCTTGTAAAGGTAAAACAACACGTAGAAGTAACGTTAGAAATCCAGAAAGGTGTCGCTCCGCCAAAGGGTTCACTCGTCAACGACACGGCGCGTGTGCTTTCGCGCGTACCTAACCATCACGGGATACTGACTCCACTTGCTGGAAATCCTCCGCGAAGAGCTCGAGTGAAACGCGGACGAAGGGAGAGTGAGCAAGAAAAAGAGAGAGAGAGAGACTGTTGAGTCGAGGTTGTGCGTCTGCCTCGTTCGACCGGGGCCCCTCTCTCTTTCGTGGCCGTTTCGATGGGGCCCGATCCTCTCCTCTCTCTTTCGGACGAACCGCCGCCACACCTTGCCGCACGAGATCGACTCGCGTAAACTCGCGTTCCCAGCCGGCAGCCTCGGACTAACCGGACGGTTTTCTGTCCTGAATTTTAGTCCCGGGGCCTAGTGTACGACGGAGACACCACGGCTATAAGACAGAGACAGAGAGTCGGTGGGGGGAGTAAGGGTGACGATAGTGGGGGAAGAAACGGGCCCCTTCTCCTTTCCCTCTTTCTTCGTCTTTCTCCCACCAGTGGAACTGCTCTCTCCCTGACTGTTTTAGTCTCTGGAGGATGGCAGGTTAAGAACCATGGGCAGGTAGAGAGAAGGCCCATTGATTAGCGATGGAAACGACATGCAGCCGTGGTGTCGATTGCTTGTCGGCTTTTTTTCGACATCCTTCATGCGTTATCGTGTCGAGTTTTGTAAAATTCGATTTGCTGGATTGGTCAATCCATGTGTATATATTCTTTTTTGTAATTGGTATTTGGACACAGATTGGCTTGGTATGAATATTTAAAATATTCTAAGTTAAGATACTTGTTGGTAGGATACTGTAGGACATATGTATGGTATACTGGTTTAT